AAGCAAATAATAGTCGTTATTTAAACCACACACGCCCTCCTCCGACATTAATAAAACCAAGTCAACAGCATTAATTAAAAGAAGGAGGTTAGGGGGCTTCCTTTAATTGAAATCCCGCGCGGCCGGGCCGTGATGTGCGTGTATGAGCGAGTAATAGGAGCAGCGCGCATCATAGAGACGCGTCCGGCCGTCCGGCCTCAGATTAAACTTCGTTGAAACAGTCCGATTTGATCAGCGGCGGGGCGGCTTCAATTGCCTTACACTCCCAATTTTCTACCGAGAAATGCCTAGCAGTGATCATACTGATCTAATTCTCAGTACTCTACGTCACAAATCCATCATAATACAGAGAAATTGGTCAGAATATGCAGTAGGAGTTTGCGAATAGTTCGGTACTGAATCGCATCGAATCAGGCCAGGTTCGGAGTCAGATTTCCAGAATTATCGATGTCGAATTAGTCAGACTTTCGAATCTTCGGTGGTTCGTCTTCGAACTAGGGTGGACAGATAAGGTAAAAAGTCATCAAACGACAGCAACGTTCGAGTAGAACCATTTTGGTGTGACCACGTGAAGTCGAATAAGGGGGAAGGGGGTGGGACTCGGCGAGGGCGCCTGGACGCGTGAGTCATCGGGGCACGGGTTCGACTCCCGGCCCCCGGCAGCCAGTATCGACCGTCGCGCGGCGCGGCGTGGCGCGGCATTGCGAGGTGGCAGTCCTGCGTTGGGCCCTTCAGGGTCAAGGCTGGCTGCGAGCCACGCATGCATGCACCCCTGGAGTGCGTGTAACGGTCCGTTCACAGTGGACCGGACTAGACCGTGGAGTGGGCAGCAAGAGGGGGCGAGTGGAGTAAAACGAGATGCTCAAGGGATTGGATGAAACAAGTCCACTCTCTGCCGAGGGGTGTACCGAGCGGTCAGGAGTCAGGGGTGTACACTGACTGGACTAAGTGACGCACCCCTCGTCCGCCCCCTAGGGTGGATTATTTCTCGCCTTAGAGTTTTCAGTGCTCAAACATTCGAACAGCTCTCACATTCATTCAACAAAATAAGGACACATTAAAATTTCACATTCAGGTGGCAAAAACTCATCTACGCGTAGGGCACGTAGGAAAAGCAAGTGGCAAATTACAGCAGAAATTTTGTACATTCCAGCACTTTTACACTATCATTGCACACAGGATTACAGACTTTCTGCGTTTAACTTTAAAATAACATCCCCTGCCAAGTACTTGATCAAATCTTCCTCCACGCTCCAGCGGCCAATAGCGAGTTCGAGCGCTGAGCGCCTGTAGACTGATCCCGAGTCGTTTTCGTCTGCTATCTCTGTCGCACCTACACGGCACGCCCCATGCGTGCGAGAGAGCCAGAGCGACGAAAGCGGCTCTCAGTGTGCTGCCGGTCGCGCCACGCCACCGCTGCTCCCCATCCCACACAGTACACTGCTTCCCCGCCCCGCCCGAGACAATGCCCGTCTTCCCGTCTGCACGTGCCCAGAACGTGTCCGGGACGTGTCCGGGACGTGTCCACCGGAAACACGGCCGCACTTCCCCAGGCTCCACTGAGAATGAAAGAGTCACCACCATCGCCCTTTCATTGGTTAACGCACGCATCGTTGCCCAAATTTGGGTGACGAGCTCGCGGTGACCAAATTTTGGGCAGTCATAAAATCGTCGCCCAAATTTGGGTAACGTCATCGGCGACGCCGTGAGGTCCCCGATGACGCACTTCCGGGGCCACCACGATGACCCAATGTGGCGTTGGCCTCCGGTCATCGTGGTGGCCCCGGATGGACGTCATCGCGAACCTCACGGCGTCGCCGACGACGTTACCCAAATTTGGGCGACCAAACGCCTGTTACCAAATTTCGGGTGATGAATTTTTCGTCACCAAAATTTGGGCAACGAAGTTGCATCACCCATTAAAAGGGTGATGGTGGTGACCAATTCATTCTCAGTGTCCACGCGGACGCACCGTCAAATGGCGCCCGTGTCCCTTGGAACGGGTGGGCATTCCCCGCAGGCACCGCCTTCGCCGCCAGGAGAGGTTGGTCGGCACTCACTCCCAGCTGAGTCAGAGGGATGGAGGCGAAAATTTAAAAGACAGAGAGGGGGGGGAATTAACCTGCGGGATTCATCGCACCATCTCCCCCCCCCCTTTTTTCCAGCACACACACCGCCTAGCTCTAGATAGACCGCCTGGAAGGTAGGCAGAAAGCGCGTCTTGTAAGTTGGCAAAAATCACATTACCCCTCCTTTGAAAAATCCCGGACCTAGAGGGGTGGGCATTCCCTCGGCATTCCCTCGGCATTCCCTCGGCATTCCCTCGGCATTCCCTGCTCCGGGAAAGGGCGGCAGTGGCGGATCCAGGGCCGGCCTTTTAATGGGGGGCACTGTTTGCCGACCTAGGGTCAAAGTATGGTATTACGCCTACCTTTCAGGCGGCTATCTATGTATCATTGCTATTGACGACTGGACCACAAACGATCGTCTACTCTATGACTCTGACTGCCGGCACCTGAAGGATGGTGGGCTTTCGCTTCGGGTGAGAAGAGTACTGGTCATTCCCTCCACCAGAAAAGTCGTGCCGCAAGATGATTCTGCTCACTGCTTTTGTCACCGTGTCTCTCTCGCACCTATCCGGACGGAGAAGTAGGAACGGTGGAGTGGAACAGGTACCAAGGAAAACGACAACAATAAAAGTATATCTCAACTGAGATTACCCGTCACGACCGGCGCCAGTCAACACGCGCGAGCGTTGACTCACGCGTGATAAGATTCCAGCCCTACAGTGCACCTACCTTCGCGGGCCCCGCCCTGACCAGTCCCAACCAGCATTAATCCCGCTCTACAAGCAGCCGAGTCCCCCGCGACGCGTGTTCCGGTCAAAACCAGGTCCAGGCAAGCCGAGGCAAGCGGACAGTCAAATGGGGCAAGGACTACTTGGCGCCCAACACTTATCACCGATGCCGGCCCGCCGGCCAGTGCTCGCTCGCAAGGCGGTGTGAATCCTCAGTCCAACAAGACGAGCCTACCAACTCACCGAAAAAGTCCTCCCAGCTGAGCGAGCCGTCGGAATCCCACGACGTCCCTTCGGACTCCTTTGCCTTGTTCGTGGCCATGGCAACGGTGCTGACTCCGACACACTCGCTGCACTTTTCGCTGCACTTGAACTGACACCTCACTGCGGGCGGCGCGGCTCGCGCGGCAGTCACGAACGACGCACGTTGGGCGGCGCGGTCCCGCTGCGAGCGGCACGGACGAACGCGCCGCGCCGAGAGCCGGCGGCACACTGACTGGACTGGCTGGGCTGCTTGGGGGAGTCGGCCCGTCCGAGAGTTGTTTTCGTCGCGCTGTCTCTCTCGCACTCATAAGGGCGTCCCGTAAGGGTGCGACAGAGACAGAGCGACGAAAATGACACTCGGAACCAGTGAAGGGTGAGAATTCTGACCAAACTTTGGCGTTAGAGATTTTTCCTCGTCTTCTGGTGGGAATCAAAATTCTTAACAAATTTTGGAACGAATCGTTTTGCCACCCTTATGAGGTGGGAAAACATTCTGTCCAATTCATGGCCACCTGAGAGCGAAAAGCAGCCCCCCACCCTTGTAAGTAGGCAAAAGGCGCAACACTTTGTCGCTTCTAGGCAAAAAGCAGCCCCCCCCCCGGTTGTAAGTAGGCAAAGCGCAACACTTTGTTGCTTCTAGGCAAAAAGCAGCCCCCCACCCTTGTAAGCAGGCAAAAGGTGCAACACTTTGTCGCTGCAGGTAGGCAAAAAGCGCTACAATGCCCTTCCCTCAGGCAGATTCTTGATCCGCGCTAGTCGAGGTCTGGCCTTGCTTGGGCTCGCAGAAGCTGTGTTCCAGACGAAGGCTTTGCGTGGCCACCCCTCTGACTTCGCTCCCCTCAGCAAGACTTCGCGTACTCGAGGAATACGAACCAACGGCTCTCAGTGACGTAGCCCTGAACATCTTTGCATTAGTTTACCAAATTCCCCCTTCTTTCTTACAAAAACAAGTGCTGGTGGTATGTATGCCCATGCGTCCGTAGGGGTGGGCGTACGCCGGCCCACCCCATTTCGTTACAGGGGGTAGGGGGGCAGGGCATCCCCCGCACCGGTGACTCACCCGCTCTGGAGTGGGGGGAGTGAAGGGGGTCCCGGGGGGGGGGAGGGCATCCCCCGCACCGGTGACTCACCACCGCTGTGGGGTGGGGGGCGTGAAGGGGGGTTCAAGGGGGGGGGGGGCACAAGCGAGGGGGTGACGGCCGGGCTAGGCTCTGCTAGGGGTGGTTGGGGGGCCACTGGAGCACCATGGGGTTGCAGAGTGAGTCATCGTCTGAGCTGGCACGCTGCCTCATCCAGGTCGCGGCGTGGCGTGGCGGCGAGCCTGAACCGTACCTGAGCGCCGCAAGGTTACCTCTCTCACAATGTGCAGTGCAGTGGTGCAGATTGATTACAGAGAGAGAATTTCAGAAAAGCCACACTTGTCCACGACCCCGTCCGATTCGCCCGGTGTCGCTTTCGCTCACTTGTAGGGCAGTCAGAAGCCAATTTTTCAGATCACGGATAAACTTATTGGTTGTGCTCTAGTCAGATATTTTTCCTGCTTCAGACATTTAGTGTGGGTATTTTGCGCAACTTCGAATTTATCGTACCTGAGGGCTGAAAATGTAAGATCATTTTTAATATTGACTGGGTGTAGCTTTTCTTTACTAATATTGCCTCTCACAAAAAGATGTCCATTGTGGCTTTTTTAAATATGTACTTTGTTTGCTAGGCTCAAGTTCAAGGTGGAGGTTCCAACACGCAGCCTAATGTAGGCTTCACATCAGTAACTCAACTCTGATGGGTTGATAGCCCACAGTGGGACCATGGCCCATGGCGGTAGCTTGTGTTGGGGTAAAAAGAAAACATCAACCCAATTTACAGGTTTCATGGGACTTTTAATACAACATAAATACATACAAATTTGCAACATTGCAGTAACATTTGGGAATTTCTCAAATTACAACTTGCCTTTAAACGAGTGGAACTTCTTGTAAGATGTTTGAAGCTTTTTAAAGATTTCAGTTGAGGACACAGACATTACACGAAGCAGGAATTTCAAGGCATGGTCATCCATGATTTTCAAAAGTGCATAAACCATATTTTCAAAGTGTTTCTGAAAAGTAAAATGTAAACAAGTCATTGAGATGGAGCTGTTGTTGTTTTCCTTAATACATCTTGAGGTTCAGCAATATTACTCACCTTCACCGATGAACATAGAGGGATTGTTTCAAAAATGGAAATAAGATCAGCTATGAAATAGGCACCAACTCTCTTTAGTGATTTTTTATAGAGTGGTTTGGTGAAAATAGTTACCAACCTGTTAAAATAGCGAAAAAATTAGAATGTGTTTGAAAATGTCAACCTTCAAAAGTACAAGTACCCCTAAAATCAACATACTTTTCTGCCTCAAATGCAATCCCTGCCAACTCAGTACTTTCTGTATAAGACATCTTAGTTCTCTGCTTGCTTGCCACTGCTAATGAATTCACAAGGCTCTGCAGCATTTGCATGAAGCTGGGTACACAATCTAGTGCAAAAGAAAAACGGTGCATAAAAATAGCAGATAAGACAGACAAAAACTGTCTTGCAACCGAAATATAGTATGCGTGATCATTCAGAGGCCACTTGACATCATGCAGAATAAGGAAGCACAAGTCCATATCTTGCAGATTTAATTTGACCTGTTGAGGAAAACATTGATAGTTATATTTAAAAAAAAAAAAAAAAACCTTTGTAAATCATAATTAAAATAAAAAAATAGTAGTTGACAAACATACCTGTGATATCAAAACATCATGTAAAAATCCCAGCAGCCATTTGGGGTTCACTTTCCCAAGCTGCTGAAGTCTGAACATGTCCTTCAGAGCATCCAAGCTCTTTTGATGCACTTTGGTTAAACTTTTTATCCTCATCAACATGGACCAAATTTTAATCATATTGTGAAAACATTTCTGATCATGGTCAGGATGTTGCTGCACATACAGAGATCAAATCAGTTACAGAAATAAAACTTTCTTTAGGAATATAATAATGTAAATACAGAAGTTTCATTCTACAGCACAGAAATGACTTTTGGATCCCCAACTTTTCAAAAAATTTGGGTTGTCCATTGCCATGCCTCATTTTGCAACTCTGGCCATAGGTAATGACAGAAAATTGCAAGTGTTGCAAACTTCCAAAAACAGCTGTTTCCCCCCAATAAAATGGACATCTGAGCTATCAAACATTCCTGGGGCTCTGCTTCACACAGCAATTACGGATAAGTTCGGAAAGAAAAGTACAGGGTGAAAAAAGGACACTGCCCTGTGGCCTAGAACATGCATCTCAACATCCCATTGACATGAATTTCCCACATGGATTGTCATGTTTAGTTGAAATAACTGGTTGAGGAATGGCTCAAAGTCGTGATATATGCTCCATAAGGGAGTACTTTTCTTACCCTGTACTTTCCTTCCCCGATTTACCCCAGGGAAGAGCTTACATTTGACACCTTTCCAAGACCACCTGGAGATCTAATCTTTACCAAAGATAAGTGCTGGCCATTGAAAAGAACAAGACCTTTGCTATCAACCAATTTGATAAGATGCCCCATGAAGTTCAAATAGTAACATTTCTGTAGAATGACCCTTGAGCGTGTGAAAACTTACTGCCATCGACAAAAGATCGTCAATTATGCAAGAAGTTTCTCCATCAGTCGCTGCCTGCATGATAGCTTTCAAAATAGCTTCATTTGGCTGGTTGGACAGTTTTAAATAAGACCAAACATCCTTGATTAAGAACTCTGGGATTGCATTCAGCTTTTGCCGATGGCAACAAACTGTTAAAATAAAAGACTCAGCTGCTTTAGATTCTGACTTCTCAGAAGAGTTTAGTGAAGAAACCTAATGACAAAAATTTTTCTTAGTTGAGCAAATAGAAAAAAAAACTTAGATAAGAACTAAGTGAGGTATGTGTACTCACTGCAAAGTGGCAAAATGACTCAAATTCATGGGAGAGGTTGCCTATGCCCTTCTCCAAGCTTATGTAGTATTCCAGACAAAGGCTAAAGGCATGCAATCCTTCTTTAGTGTTGACAAGTTGGCTCTGAATAAGATTTTCAAAGGTCTTGGCTATTTTTTTACGGGTCTTATTCAATTTTCTTATGGGATCCGTGGTGGACTGAAACACAAATCACAATTCATTATTTAAAAAAAAAAAAACAAGCATAACATGCAACAAGATAAGAACATGATATATTTTTATCAAGTATCAGTCAAGCTTAGTACTAAGTGTCCCTTAATCCATCAACTTGTGGCCTAATGCACACTAATAATAAATTACTGTGTTTTGAAAAATTGAGGTTTTGGATGTGGTTGGTTGAACCATACCAGAGGCAAAAGTCGTCTTCCCCTCTCTCTGTAGTACTACAAAGGGTTAAAAAGCATGAGTGCAGAAAAAAATGTAAACATATATTACCTTATCTAGATTTACTGAAGATTCGAGAGACCCCAACTGGAGATAGCACGAAAAAGGAAATGCATCATCATTCAACACTTAACTCTGTGACAAATTACAAAATTCAAATTTATTTTTAGGACTTACTTACCGATTTTAATTTTATTCCTGAGGAGACTTGTAAGAAAAGGGTTCCCAGCAGTAAATTTTCTTTGCTTGGAGTTTCCTTCTTGCCTTCTGTTTTCATCACTATGATTCTATCAAGAATTTGTTCCAGCAATTGCTCTTCATGTAAAGCTTGTGCCAACAGCAGTTCCAAAAGACGACTCCCAACATTATGATGGACTACAAAATATGCCAGGGCACCAATTAAAGCCTTATGGTCGATGTATCCCTTCAGATTTGGACTCCGTTGTTCAATCTTCTCATATAATCCTAATCAATAATAATTATTCTTATTATTAGCAATGATCCAAAATTGAAACATGACATACAAAAGGTAATAAGTTTGAAGGGAAATTCTCACCCAACAATAGATGATCGAAAATTTCTTGGAGAATTTCATCTCTTATCTGTGATGGGGCAAGAGATGAACAATCGAGAGCCAAACTTAACAAAGACAGAAATACGACATCTTGACATCCAGATATAAAGAAGCCAAGAGGGAAAGAATGGAGGATATGAAGGTGCTGCGAGATAATGGTCAAATCACTCTCTTCTCCAGACAACCGCCTCTCACCACCTGATTTGTACACAATGAACAAACAATAATTAACACTTCAGATAAACATAAAAATAAAGTTGAAACTATAACAAATCATTGAAGCATAAGTTACCATCCAGGGATGACAGAGTTGAGGAGAGAGAAGAAGCCATGGATAAAAGCACGGAGCTCAGTTCTTCAGACACAGGGTCTCCTTCCAGTTCTTGCTGTATTAGAACTTCCGCATCAATTTTACCTAAGACTGCTTTGGCAACCCTCCAAACATTTGCTTCAGAATCATCCCTCCTGCGTTTGGAAGCTTTCACTTTTCGCCTCAAACTTTTTAAGAGACAGCAAACCAGACTACAAGCAATCAACCTGAAACGTGAAAGGAAAAAAAGTTTCAAACTGACACAATAAATTAAAAATGGTTTGGTTGCATTCAAATGTGTTGAATAATACAAACCTTTCTTCGGTTAAATGTGCCATAATATCATTAAGTGAGTCATCATTTTGATTGGCGATGAGACTAGCAGTGAGGCAGTCCCCAAGGGATAAGAGCTCAGAGGCATCAAGCAAGCTTGCCATTGTAATTACATTAGATATTAAGTTACGGTCAATTGTTTGACATGGGCCAGTGGGCTTTTGTACCATCAAAGCACATGCGCGCTTTGCAACAACTTTGGGTAAAGAGGATTGGGAAGAATTGAACATAAGAAGAGCAGAAAGAAGTTGAGCGTCTAATTTGATCTGGAAACCAGAAGAAAGACATTAAACAAAAGTACATTTAAGTTGTTGCCATAAGTTCATATTTGCTAATTGCATAAACGAACCAGTAAACTCCTGCAATCTTCATTATCTAGGTTAACTGCTTTGTCATAAATAGACTCCCATTGCTTGTGGGTCAAGTATGGATGCAAGTAAGAAAGAATGCTGCCACCACATAAATCTTTGCATTCGGTTTTAAGATTAGTTCCAATTGATAGCAGCAGCTCTTCACGGCCTGCGTCAGCATACTGCTCAATGAGGACTGCTTGAGCTGCCCAATGATAAGCAGCATTTAAAAATGAAATAAGCAATAGACAGTCCTAGAAAAAAATTATCAAATTAACCTCAGATTAGTGGGTATTTAAATACTAGAAATGTTATGAAGTATCTATCATACATTTTTGTCATCTTTTAAAACCAAGTCACCAAATGCACCAAGCTTTGAACTTAGTTTATGCATCACACCACAAAAGTCACTTCGAGCTTTATCAGTTGTGGACAGTTCTATCAAACGGATACCTCTGAAGATAGAGGTAATGAGTTCAAAAATAGTATGAAGGAGTAAGTTCTTGTAGCCTCCTGGAATTACATAATACATTTCAACAAACAAAGTCTAGAGAAACTACACAACACACATGTTTTTAAAACAAAAAGATGTAGACATGGCACTCACTGTCAAGTGAAAAATTTGGTTCCATGAAAGTATCAAAATGGCTGATGAGAAAATTAAGGATCCTACAGGATGTTGCAGAGGGCATAACAGTGGCTACTTCAACAAGCTGTTGAGTGAATGAAGGTGGTAGCCACATGTTATGACTTGGCGGTAAAATGCCGCCACCTTGTTGTTTTATAAATCCATCCTAAACAAAAAGGAAATTCCCATTAACTACCTAATAAAGCAGAATTTTAAACAGGTGAGAAAATAAAAAGTTAAAAAATGGAAACAAACTTGTAGAGATGCAATGAAAACTGCAGTAAAGTGAGGTAAACGACTCAGTTTGTTGTACAAGGCAAGTGCTCCACAAAGGAAAGTTGTATATTCAGGAATTAAGTCCTCCGGAAAAGGCTTAGCCACAATTACACTGAAGATATTCTTGAAATTACTCTCGACCAAAAAAGGGAACGAGTCCATCAGAGAAGACATAAGCTTCAATGAGGAAGCAGGATCAATCAAGGATGAAGTGGTAAAGAAACTTTCCACAAGTGCCTAGCAAAAACAAGATCAAAACAGGTTTATCATCATGATAAATAAACAATCCTTACTCTCAATAAGTTCATATACTTACCGTTAGCCACACACTTAAAGATGTGCCATTTATTGTAGAATTCAAAGTAGATACCTTCCCTGTTAGAGGCTTAATCATATTGTAAAGGACTCTGAGGGACATAGTCTTGATCTCTCCCTTAGCACAGATTTGACTCAACCTTTCATAAGACACAGCTATTCCCTCTTTCTTTACCTCAAATCCAACAAGATAAGAGATACAAACATACATTGGGAATACAAATGAATACCGGTCTTTATCATCTTTTTGATTTATAGCAAATGAAGTGCAAATCATAGTCAACAAGTTAATAAATGAGTCTTCATCAAGTGAGCTCCTGGCTGTCTCAAGAACCGTCAAAAACTTATTTGGAACAGGGTACTGCTTTTCAGTGCAGGCTACTGTGACAACATTATCACGAAGGAATTCGAAAAAATCAGATGATGTGTGAGGGAACAATACCTGAAATAGGAAATTCAATTCTGATCAATAAAAGCAGCAAATTCAAATTCATGAGTCAAGTATAGTATATTCCATAATTTCATCTTCATGGTAACAAAATGCCAAGACTCACCTCCCTGACAAACTTATGAATGTCATGATGAACAGACGAATTACTTTCTACAGACTTTAACATCTCAGCCAAAACAAACATCATTTGATCCAAGAATTTTAGACGCAGATCATTTCTTGATTTACTAAGACTGGGAAACAATAGGAAAAATTAAATCAGGTTTCTCTTCAGATTATTGAACAGCAAATATGGGAGAACAGGAAGAACCAAAATACAACTCACTTCTGGAATGTTGTCAAGCAGGTCTGAATTAATGGCACATGCTCAGGGCACTCAATGGACATAGACTTAAGCAAAAGAGTTGCAAAGTCAACGCACAACCCACTGTTGGTGCCAAAATAGGACTCAAAACTTTTGGCTTTGAAGACAGTTGTGGCACATTCCAATACCACAGTATCTTTATGAGAGAAGTCTATTCTATTTAATTGTTTGGAGAGAACCTGCAGACAAAGCAAATAAAAACATGGATACAAAGTAGGTATTGGTGAAACTGTAGCTACTGTTAATCACTCACCTCAATTATGTACCCTTTTGTGCTAGGCCTTATGTTGGCGTATTCAAACTTCGGATTTGTTATACAAGCATGGAGAGTTGACCACAACTTTACAAAATCACCTGATGAGTCAGAGAGACTTTTCCTCTTGCCTTTTCCTTTGAATTTATCAGCAGCCTGGCATAGCCAGTTGGTGACAGCTTCCTCTTTCCTTGGCAGGGGCAAACGCGTTGACTGAAATACATTATGTGCAAGGCAGAGGCGTTTGGCGAAAGGTTCTCCATCACTATACAGCCTTTCCAGTAGCTCTGTAACGGAAAATTTAATATATTTAGGCCAAGAGATATATAGTGAGATCAAAAAAGGAAGCAAAAATCATAATTTCCATAAATACATGGGAGTACAAGGCACATGGAAGTACGAGGTTATGTAAAGGAAAACAAACCCATGACACAAGACATTCATTTGTTAACATACTCATCCGTGAATCAAATTGAGTGTGGATTTAAGATTTTGTTTCCAGCCATGAAATAATTGTTTTCCCTTGACAACAGATTCTCTAAGATTTGTTTGTTTAAATACCTGTTGTTCCTGACATGCTGCCCCGAACACGGAACGCACTAGGGGGGGGGGGCATGAATGTAAATGGCCTTCGCCCTCGGGCGTATTAGAGGCCGGAAGCCAGGGTATTCTTCTCTTTTTTGGTTCCTAGTTGTACTTATGTGATTTTGGCTGAGGTGGTCTTCAAATGAGGATTTATCAGTGAAATCACAGATCTCTAGGAGATGTTTAATTGAGGCATCTTCGCCGCATCTAGGGCGTCCGGGCGGTTCACCACCTGAAAGAAATAGGAGCCGCGCGCGTTGAGGGGAGGAGCCGCGAGCTTCGGGGGGTATGAGGTATGAAGGCTAGCGTCCCTAGGCCATACGCTGCAGGCGCGGGTTCTATTCCACGTCCGTGCTTTTTTTTCGGTCGCGTTTGGCGGGAAGATCTATCGCGAGTTAGAGAATGATCTGCCGCGAGTTAGAGAAAGATATGTCGCGAGTTAGAGAAAGATCTGTCGCGAGTTAGAGAAAGATCTGCCGCGAGTTAGAGAATGATCTGTCACGAGTTAGAGAAAGATCTGTCGCGAGTTAGAAAAAGATCTGTCGCGAGCCCGTTAGGTTAGGTTAGGATAGGTTGGACCGTTTAGTTTCGACACCTCGGGTCCCCTCCGGATGGCCGTAGGGTAGGAGCCCCTCCCCTCCAGCGCCCCCACCCCTCGGCTCCTATTTCTTTCAGGTGGCCGACCGGAAAACAAATGCACATCCAGATGGACCATGCGACATTGCCAACACGAAACTGTCTAGTGTTGACTACCATTTCATTTCCAAGCCACTATGTGATTCATTTTGTAGAAAAATTGACACCATTAACAATCCCAACTAAAATGTTTTGCAGGAGACCAGCAAATCTCAACACCCACGAAAGAAAAGATATTTCTTTTCGTAAGTTCGGCAGACAAGCCTGCGTACAGGCATTGGCCAATCAGAGTCGACCACATCTTGTTTAAGTTAAGGTGTCAGTGGTTTGTGGTCTGCAATGGCTCCCATTAAATCATTTTCTTTTATAGTGTTAAATCTTTTCCTATGTTTTCTTGCCGTTGAATGTGGGTGAGTTCTTCATTCTCTTTATGTTTACACTTAATCTTAGCGCTATTTTCGAGGTAAATGGTATTATGTTTGGTTAAGTTGCCCTCGTCAAATCTCTTCTGCTACGTCTGCTTCATACCGGTTTTATGCCCGGTCAATGCGACGAACGCATCTAAATTTGCATTTTTACTCAATAGTAAACTAAGAGTACACATCATGCTTTATGTGCATGTGTTTTATTAATATGCCAACGTTTCTAAACAGGATCTTGCCTTTGACTAGTGCCAACTTTTTTGATTGCGTAGTCTTTCCCATTCATTTTGATTGTATTCATATTAATCGTACCTCATTTCTCATAGGAGAGACTTTTACTCCATCTTAGGAGTACCACGCAGTGCTAATCTTAACCAAATTAAAAAAGCATACAGAAGATTAGCAAAGGAGCTTCATCCTGATAAAAATACAGGAGACCCCGATGCCTCTAGCAAGTTTCAAGATTTGGGAGCTGCTTATGAGGTAAGTTGTAAAAATATGAGAAGTTTCTCCTTACAAGATTCGTATTGCTCAAACTAACAAGGTTCTTGTCATTTAGGTACTCTCCGACCAAGAGAAAAGAGAGCAGTATGATCGATGCGGAGAAGAATGTTTGAAAAAGGAAGGTATGATGAATCATGGTGATCCGTTTGCCAGTTTCTTCGGTGATTTTGGTTTCCCCTTCGGAAATCAACACGACCAGCAACAAGAAACACCGAAGGGGGCAAATATTGTTATGGATCTATGGGTGACCCTAGAAGAATTGTATTCAGGAAACTTTGTAGAGGTAAGTTTAAGTGTATTAGAACTCCTTACTCTTTTAAAATTTTCATATTTACTTTCCTCAAAAAAATTAACAATTATTTTAAAACTTACAGATAACTCGAAACAAACCTGTTATGAAACCAGCAAAGGGGACACGAAAGTGTAATTGTCGACAGGAGGTTGTGACGAAATCTCTTGGACCTGGTCGTTTCCAAATGATGCAACAGACTGTTTGTGATGAATGTCCAAATGTCAAGTAAGTTGATTTATTTCAGTTCTTAATCTGTCTTGTTCATTCTTCGGGTCTAAATCAATTATAATGCATTTATGTTCATCTTGATTTGCAGGTTAGTTAATGAGGAGAGAACCTTGGAAATTGAGATAGAGGCAGGCATGGTTGATGGTCAAGAAACTAAGTTTGTGGCTGAAGGAGAGCCTCATGTTGATGGAGAACCAGGAGACCTCATTTTAAAAATAAAAACACAAACTCACAATAAATTTGAGAGAAGAGGTGACGATCTATACACCAACATGACAATATCTCTTGAAGATGCATTAGTGGGCTTCTCTACAGAGATAGAGCACCTAGATGGCCACAAAGTTACTGTAAGTTTCTGCTGTTTTTACTGGTAAACTTGTTGGCTTTTGCTGCAATATGCCTTGACAGCACATCAAAATGAGTGTAAATAGGATAACTTTCTTGTCAATTTTGTTTTTAAATCATTTAATTCTGGGTTTTCATTAATTTTTTGGTGGCTGCATCATATTGAAGCTTCTTTTATTGATGTGTTCCCTAGGTATACTGTTCTTGATGGAATTCCCCAAAATTTAAAATGTTTCTTTTCTCCTCTGTGCAGGTTACTAGAGACAAGGTCACACCCCCTGGAACCAAAATTCGTAAGAAGGGGGAAGGCATGCCAAACTTTGAGAATAACAATTTACATGGCGCCCTCATTATTTCCTTTGATGTAGAATTCCCAAAGAATGCGTTTTCTCAAGAAGACCAAGAAGGTACTTGATAAGTTTTAAAGCCTCCCTCAAACCTGCCTTAATCTTTTTTTACACAATTTAAATGTTGCTTAATACTTAATTTTCTTTCCCTCAGCGATCAAGAAGCTACTTGGACAAGGCTCAAGCTTTAAAGTTTACAATGGACTGCAAGGATTTTAGGAAAATAAATTTGATACAGTAATTTTCAATTAGATGCCCTTGACCTGTTTCAAGATATGGGTCTGCATTGTTTTTTTTTTTTAGTGGTCTCACACTGTGTGGTCAGACCAAGAAGTCAAATTCTTTTGACATAGTAGATCATACACTTTCAAGACAAATATACTTGTCTTTGAAGGGATATTGAAGGCTGTGAAATATCTTTTTATGTAATACATTCATGGATTACTTAATTATGAAAGTTGGTCTTCTTTCATGTATCATGTATAGGAAGGTCACCCATATGGCAATCAAAGCTGTGCCATGAGACTGCATCACTTGCAGTTGCTGCTGTAGCGTATCAAACTTCAGTTTATCTATTTATCATTATTATATTATTTAATGAGTCGTGTATTTGGAATAGAATTTTTACAATTTGCATTGTGTGGTTTCCCCTTAACAAAAATGTTTGACATTTGCACTACTGTCTTGTATATGATCACATTTTATTACAAAATAAGGAAAATTTCTGCTACTGTAACTTTGGTTGTTCTGATTGTTAGAATGGGGTCAGTGCAGAGAGCTCATGTCTTCAAGATGAATGTATTATTTACTCGAAAGACCATTGTAATGTGTTCCTGCTTTCAATTCAAATGTGTATCTGTAAAGAACGTTTTGCTTCTAGGTATAAAATATTATATGATAGTGTTGGACTCGGAACCAATTTACATTTTCATTTTTGCTCCATTCTGTACGTATTTTGTTTCGTGCTCCTGAAAGACTTGTGGTTAATAAAAAACCCTAAAATGCTATTGTATTTCCTCTGTGAGTATATAATTCCCTTTCGTAAGTTAGCAACGAAGTTACTCAAGTGTTATCACTTCTTTCATCGGGTCACATGTGACAGAATTCACTTCATCTCATCTACGAGGTCCGCTTCGTCTCAAGGCTTCGTCTCAAGGCTTCATCACAGTCACGCCGGAATGACGCGCGGCTACAGCTTCGCTGCGGAAGTGTATTGGAAAGTATGACACAGTACTTGACGGTTTTTTTCCCTTCTCAAGTTTTTATTTTTTTAGTTTGCGGAGGGGAGGGGAGGGGCGCTGGAAGGGCCACAGGAGTAGTGGGAGAAGGGAGGTGGCGTCTGAATAGAGCACGATGGCGGATAAGGCAGGCAGGACTGAAATATGACTGATGGTTCGAGGCAGTGCCAGGCAGAGTGGGCCGAACCGAACCGCCGAGAGTCCGCGAGGCACAGGAGGTAAGAAGACGCGTTCGAAATGAATGGCGGCTCTTACTTCCCGCCGCAGCGCTGCACCTGCAGCAGCGTGTCAAATGGGTAGCCTACCTTGACGGCGCGGTTCTTCCAGGCTATAACAATATGGACGCGAAGCAAACACTCGTCTCTGTTCCTCTCCCCTCTGAAGGTGCTAGGAGGGTGTCAGGTGGGTACCCTACCTTGACGGCGTGACCCTGTACTGCAAGAGTGTCCCCTTCCTCTAATCAGCCCCTCGGAGGCGCGCCGTCAGTGTAGGCAACCCATTTGGCACGCAGTCAACTCAAGGTGCAAAAGAGTTCCCGCCGTCGGCTCCTACCCCCCCTACCCCCCCTCCCAGAGGGAGAGTGGGGTAGGGGCAATCATAAAGGGTTAGTAACCTGACCTGGCTGGTAGCGAACCAGGTCCAACGGGAATCGTGTGCTGCCGCATGGCCTCCAACCAGCCTCCACGGCCCATCGCTCTGCCACCTGAGCTACGACAACACACCTGTCTGACACGTCTTATCTTAGAGTGATGATACCGGGTTTGAGAGGTAGGCTGAGGAAAAGATTCTTTCACCTGGGAGTCGAATCCAGGGCTTCTCCCGCTAGCCGACATCTTTACCATCTCAGCCCCAGAGCTTGGCACCGGCACGCCATCATCATCGCCCAGAGGCCGCCCGCACCCTCCACTGCGGACAAATAGTGGCGCGGCATAGTTTGGCTAAGCCGCCGTGAAACCGGAAACCAGCGTCATCAAGATGTGCTGCGTGTTGACGGAAAATGACGAGGTTCCCCATTTAACTTTTCCCGCGGTCAAAAATCTACGTTCTTTATGGCTGAAGCTTTGTGGCCACAAAACGGGTGGCCACCACAAGCTACCGAGACCGTCCCTGCCCCGCGGCGGTCCCTGCCCAGGCTGCCCAGTGTCCAGGAAGGTGGCGCGGCAGCGGGTGGTGGTAATAAAATCACAATGTTATCGCTATTTCGCGGTCATTTGCTCCAAATCTCCCCCTCCATCCGCCGGCCGGGGTCTTTGCTGTCTCTTTCTCTCTCTCTCTCTCTCTCTCTCTCTCTCTCTCTCTCTGTCACACACACTGTCCGGCCACTAAACTGCGGCTGTCTAGCTCCACGGAAAGACGAAGTCACTCTGAATCGGCTGCTTGAAAAAAGAAGAAGGAGAAGGGGGGTCGGCGCCGCACAAGACGAATATCCCATAATCCAAATCGCCAAAGGCTGCGGCTTTATTTCGATTTGGTTCTGCTGCTGGGCTGCGCTGGCTGGGCTGCTGGGGTAGGAGTGGGCTTGGGGAGGGCCTCCCCCTCCCTTCACCCCGCTTCCCGATTTATGGCCGTGCTATCAGATAGTGTCCGCCCCGCGTTCGAGCTGTTGAACTCGTCAACAATTCAGGGATGTCGCTGTTACTCACTTACAGCCAGGGGCTGAATAAAAACTTGGACTTTTTTAGGGCATGGGTCCACTACTGGACTGGCTCCAGGAGTCTGGAGTAACGCACCAACGTTTGAGTGCTTTAATGTGGTTATCAACAAATATAGTCTGGATCATCACGCTCTCGGACTCGTAGTACCGATCAGTAACATAACAACGCACAAACGTTTGAGTGCTTTAACACGGCTATCAACAAATTTATTGCTACACTAAATTACTATGAAGGTTTCTCTGCGCGCCAATGCACGAAATTAAACATGCACTTCGCAACGTACAAATTTGTGCGCGAAAATGCACGATTTTCTGCATACTTGCGCACAAATTCGTGCGTTACGAAGTGCATGTTTTATTTCGTGCATTAGCGCACAGAAAAACCTACATAGTAATTTAGTGTGTATAAATAACGTTATCTTACTGATATTTTTATGTATCTTACAAACGAAACCATATTAATGCAACCGAACACCAATGGTTTACTTACTTACATAACATGATGTCTACAGACGATGAGAATCTACGGCAGTTTCTACACAGAAAGAGTAGCGCTGTGAAGATTTGAAGTTTCCTGAAGCCCCTCGTCAGGATGCAGAGAGGGTTAAAAACGACAGCTCGCCCTGGCGCTGCGCTGCGCCGCGCTGGGAGGCTGCGAGGGGAAAGGGAGGGGGCAGGCGGGGTTTGCTGGACCGTGCCCAACTCGCAGCCACGTCGCTGGTGAAATATATGTTCTCGTTATTAAATTCAACTGCCATGACCTGGAGGAGATATCGGTGACAGGGAAGGCCAAGCCGGGGCGCCGGTCAGGGCTGGAAGAGATTTAATATCAGCAAAACATCTGGTTCCCACCGGTGCCCCCACACCACCGTCTTGTCTTCCGCGAGAGTCTTTCATCTTTCGTGCTGCCAGTGCTGCGAAGCTGCTTCTGCAGAGGTTCGAAGGACCGCCCCCGTACCGCCACGCGCACCGCGCTGTTAAATTTGCCCGATTCAGCAGAAGTTGCATGGAACGCAGCCAGTGGCGTAGGGGCCCCACCTGGGGCATCAGGGCGCGCGCCGCCGACAGGGGCGTAACTCAGGCTGAAGAGCGACGAGGAAGGGAAGAGGAATCTCCTAATGTCATAGCGGCCGCATTCGCCGCCGAGCAGAACAAGGCGGCGCTGGCTTACCAACGAGTTTGCCTTGTTAGAGGGTCACCAAATCAGGCGGTGGCTTCCCTTTACAGCCAGGGATTGCCTTGCTGCATGCAGGTTTGCCTAGTTGCAAGTGGGGCTGCCTAGTTACAGGCTTCCGTCTCATACGGCGGCTTGTCGATTCACCGCGGTGGGTTGCGTTACTTGAAGGGCGTGGGTTGCCTCGTTCCAGGGCATGGTTTGCCTCGTTCCAGGGGATGGGTTGCCTCGTTCCAGGGGGTGGGTTGCCCAGCTCCAGGGGATGGGTTGGCTAGTTGCAGGGAGTGGGTTGCCTAGTTCCGGGGGTGGGTTGCCTAGTTCCGGGAGGGCCTAGTTCCGGGAGGTGGGTTGGGGTTGCCTAGTTCCAGTGCGGGGTTGCAGGGGGTGTGTTGCCTACTTCCAGGGCGTGGGTTGCCTAGATGCACGCGAGAAAGGGAGGACTGTCTGGCCCGGCGATGGCCAGCCTTCGATAAAACTGTCTCTGCTGCGAGGACGGTGAGGACCCTCACCTTTCTCTCCCTTCATTTTTTCACCCCCTTTTTTTCCTGCTCGCTTTATCGTGCCCATTGGGAGCATTGGGAGCGTGACTGCCATCAATGCGCGCGCACGGAGCGGGGCGGGGCGGGGCGGGGCGGGGCGGGGCGGGGCGGAGCAGAGCGCAAAGTGGCGAACTGCTCGTCCGCAGCGCGCATTGCGGTTGCAGTGCGGTGGCACCATGGAGGCACCGCGGACGGTGCGTTGCTGCGCCTTGCTGCGCCTTGCTGCGCCTTGCTGCGCCTTGCTGCGCCTTGCTGCGCCTTGCTGCGCCTTGCTGCGCCTTGCTGCGCCTTGCTGCGCCTTGCTGCGCCTTGCTGCGCCTTGCTGCGCCTTGCTGCGCCTTGCTGCGCCTTGCTGCGCCTTGCTGCGCCTTGCTGCGCCTTGCTGCGCCTTGCTGCGCCTTGCTGCGCCTTGCTGCGCCTTGCTGCGCCTTGCTGCGCCTTGCTGCGCCTTGCTGCGCCTTGCTGCGCCTTGCCTCGAGTGCTCGTCGCTTCGTCCCCGCCAGTTGGCGGCAGCGTCGCCGCGACCCTCGTCCAGTCCCCCGCGGAGGTGAAGGGTGCGCGCCGTCGCCGCTCCGGCAGACTGATTCCGAGTCGTCGCTCTGCCTTTCTCGCACTCATGGGGCGTCCCGTAAAGGTGCGAGGGAGACAGAGCGACGAAAACGACTCTCGGAGTCAGTCTGGCAGGGCCACGGCTTTGCATAAAGACCGCCTAATGAGAATCAAGTGTCGCACCGGGGCACTTCTTTCGTATCTCGCTCGGCCGCGCGCCGTCCTCGACGTCACCGTCGTCTCCGCCGTCAGGCCTGCCGCCAGGGGTGAGACTGATTCCGAGGGTCGGTTTCGTC